GGACCATAACGAGTGACCAAACCGTATACAATAATTCGTTGCTTTCATTTTTTTTCCAGCTCGTCGGTATGACATCACTGGATAGAAATTATTCAGAAGTAATAAATTTATTATTTGTTTTGGCCGAGTTATACTTAAATATACTTAAAACTGAGAAAATATTGCAATTTTGAGACAAAAAGTTCTCGACGTAGCACGTCATTCCAGCGCAAGAGGTTAACCACTTGCGCTGGCAACTGATTGCGGACCATAACGAGTGACCAAACCGTATACAATAATTCGTTGCTTTCATTTTTTTTCCAGCTCGTCGGTATGACATCACTGGATAGAAATTATTCAGAAGTAATAAATTTATTATTTGTTTTGGCCGAGTTATACTTAAATATACTTAAAACTGAGAAAATATTGCAATTTTGAGACAAAAAGTTCTCGACGTAGCACGTCATTCCAGCGCAAGAGGTTAACCACTTGCGCTGGCAACTGATTGCGGACCATAACGAGTGACCAAACCGTATACAATAATTCGTTGCTTTCATTTTTTTTCCAGCTCGTCGGTATGACATCACTGGATAGAAATTATTCAGAAGTAATAAATTTATTATTCGTTTTGGCCGAGTGACTTAAATATACTTAAAACTGAGAAAATATTGCAATTTTGGGACAAAAAATTCTCGACACGTGCGTGACACGTCATTTCAGCGTAAGAGGTGAAGATCTAAAAGCAAATTTTGCCGTTTTATTTCGATTTATGTTTATTTCTTCATAGGATGATCTAAAATAATTGACTATTGACGAATTTTCAGAATGATTCTAGAAAGGAATCGATGTTCGTGCGTCGGTAGACAGCCCTGGACATGAATGAGGGAGGTAGAATCAAAAGGAGACGAGCGAACTGGTCTCCGAAACTCTCACAGGTAGAACAAATACCTGAGATTTTTTCGGCGACTTAAGGACGGCCTAATTAGAGGCACGATGACGATGTCAAAAACCACGGACTCTGCCCGAAGGAACACGAAATTGGTCTAGCCACCCACCCGGGTGAGATCTGGCTCGCCAACAACGGAAGAACACAGAAGAAAAAGAATACCGTTTTTCCACGACGGAACCTTTCCCTGTTCTCCCACTCTCTCCTTGTTCACCGGTTAAAGATCATCTCGGAACTATCAACCACTCTTACTCACCCTAAAATAGCAGCGAGTGGAACTAGCTGCAGGTAGAAGCAATACCTGAAACATTTTTCCGAGAAGCGGACCTCCTATAATTGTCGACACGACAACGACATTCAGGGAAGGAAAATTTCATTAGAAACTTGCGAGAGAAAAAAATACGTAATCGCCACCATCAAATATGTTCTCTTCAGACAAAGGGATAGTGGGAAGCAGAAAAAGATTAGTCACGCTTTTCTAAAACATCTCTCCAATGGTGCTTCCTGTGAAGATAAAGCGTAACAGAAAACGTAACTTCTGTTATTTATGGCCAGTTCATTCATCACGAAAATCAATTACTATGTGTTATCAATAAAGCGAATAAAATTGTAACTACAATGGTAATAGAAAGATTTTGTACACTTTACTGTATTTATAATAATAGTGATTTTTTGATTCAGTTTATATATATATGTGTGTGTGTGTGTGTGTGTGTGTGTGTATCTTCAACAAACAAATTTAAGAAATATTGTTATTTATATATATATTTATATATTTATATATATGTGTGTGTATATTTTCAACAAACAAATTTAAGAAATATTGTTATTTTTTCAAAATTTATACAACAATGTCCATACATTATGAATTAAAGTTGTACACAGGATAATTATACATAGATTTGAACATTTGTCAATCGTATTTTCAGTTTACTTACATGTTCTTTTAAGCAAATGTAAGGAACATTATCAGTAATTTAGAAATGATCTAGTTGAACTGATAAATTAATTAAAATCTATAAAACATTTAAAAGTATTTCGTTCTTGGTTTAAATATTTGAAATTTGATAGATGTATAGTCCTAAATTATTGTGAAATAGTACAATATTGTAAAATACAATTCAAATTAATCTTTTTGATTTAATTGTAACATGCATGCATGTTTTGGGTGATGAATATTTAGAATAAAATAAATAAAAATAAGGTCATATGAATCTGTATTCGACATCTATAATCTATAATTTCTAATCTACAAATATTCTCAGTTGTAAACGATTGAAAAAAACATTTAATGTATTCACGTAGTGCCTTAATACATGCTATTGCATGTAGAATGCCAAAATCTTTTATCTAATATTTGCAAAAAATATCTATCGATCTATTGAACTTTTATTTTTGATTCAATTTAAAATCTATTGTGTAAAATTCAATTCAAGTGAATCAATGCACGATTTACAAGAAACGATTTAGAACAGATTTGAAACTATTCGAGAAATAATTGGCACACAGTGTATTGAGACATAAAACGGTATTGTATTGAACATTTTCTTCAATTATATACATACAACTCTTATATACAAACTAAAGTATATAGGACATACAGTACCAGTAACGATGAAAAATTGCGTTTAATTTAAACTGTTATAACTTTGTAAAAAAAAATCATGTAACAATCAACTTGATCTCATTTTAAAGCTCAAGGCTAATAGTGACTATTCACGAACAAAAATTTTTCTTAAGAATATTCGAATTTTTACAATTTTTACAATCTTTGAAGCAAACAAACTCACGATTGTCAAAATAAAGATCTTAAGATGACGCTTTAAAATGACACTAAGTTGATTGATGTATAATTTTTTTTTATAAAGTTATTACAATGTAAATTATCGATAATTTTTCATTATCAAGTATGCTTCTCACGCAATTTCATATGACATATTTTACATATTTTAATGTGTAAATTTATCGTTTAAAATTTACAACTTTACAAAATAATAGAAAATTTAAAATATAATCTAAAATGTAGTGCAGCTAGTAGAATAGCGATTAATACAAGATTAATTTGAATAAATAAAAAAGCGGCTGAAAATTAATTTTGCAAAAATATCTCAATTATGTGACTTAAAGTATATTTGTTCAATACTAAAACTATTAAAAGAATGAAAATATGCGTCTTTGGTCTTTAGTCATATTCAAAAAGTTTATATAAATTTTATAAGTATTAATTATTTATTAAAAACGAATATAGAACGACACATACATGTACAGGTATATTTTTTGTTTTCAAATTAAATTTAATGGACTATTCAGTTATAGTAAAATGTAAAAAATTAATAGTAGAGAAATTAATATATCAATACAACAAAATATTAACCTTTTGATGGAATTACATTATATGTATAATTGATATGTGTATTCAATTATTTATGCATGATAATGAGAAAAGTTTTGTGCTGACGGATTTCAATTGTGTAAATTTAGTAAATACCAATAGAGCAGAAAAATTCGAACTAATATATACTTTTTTAATATATATAATTAATATATTAATATAATATATAATATAATATTATATAATAATATATATAATATATATTTATTAATATATATTTTGCGAATATTACGTGTTATATTTAATATTTATTTGCATTACTTGATTGAACAAGAATTTTTTCTCTAAACATTGTTTGAAAAAAACTATTTCTAAAAATCTGACTCTATTCTTATGAAATTTTAAAATTTCTATTATTATGAAATCAGAATTGGTAAACGTAATCTGAATAATGATCAACAATTATGATTAATCAGGATATTAATCACGATTAATACTGATTATCAAATAATGAATAATCATTGATCAATGAATAAGAGAAGTAATCAAAATCGAATGTCATGATTAATTTAATAATCGTTAATTATAAAATAATTGTATTTTCGATTATGATTGTATCGGTATGTAGTTTATTTCTATCGATAACACTATGTATATTTTGTGGAAGCTACATGTTTATTATTTGCATTGTTTTGCAAAGTGTGCAATTCTTCAATTTCATCAGAATTTGTTGCAAATATTTAAAAAATTTTTCATCAACTACAATTGAAAGTTTGATGTATATAATTCTTGATTTGTTGATTAATCTTTCATATGACATGACAAAGATAGATTTTAAAAATGGACTGATAAAGCAGTGTTTGAAGAATGATCAAAACTTTGAGATTCTTCATTACGATACGTATTCGTTCTTATGCCAAGAATATACTAGAGTTTGAAAGTAACACGTCATAAATCATAATAAAATATAAATTAATCACTTAACGATTTAAAAACTACTGACTACAAATTACAAAAATTAATCGAGATTTATTTTAATAATGATTAATTGATTAATGATTGCAATTACTACGATTACATTTAATAATCGATCATTGTCCAATTCTGTTCAACTCTATGAAATTATACTAACAATATTTTTATTCTTTTAGTGACAAGTTAAAATTTTCAATATAAATAATTTGTTTCTTTAACACTAAAATTGCCTAAAATAACTATAATATATAACATAAAACTTGTGTCATAGAAATAAAAGTGCAAAAAGTAGAAAAAAATTATTGTGAATATAAATATAAAATATGTAAAATATATAAATGATAAGTAAATACAAAATGTATGAGTATAAATTTCGATGAAAAATTACAAATCACTCTGGTAATTCTACTATTCAAATTTTCTTACAATCCTCGCGCAACTTTTTCTTCAAAACATGTCTGTCGTTTCTTCAAATAAAAACTTGCATTACGATACATTTACGAAAGCCAGAGTGATTCAATGAATCTCTTAATGAGGAAAAGATCTTCTGACAATTCTCAATAATTGTGCAATTTTTACTCGTGTTATGAAAAATGAAAAATCTGAAAAATCATGGCAACTACTACGCTTAAACTCTTAAAGAGTTAAAAAGGACTATTTTCTTAAGAGATACCCAGTTGTAATCCTCGCAGAAAGCGGATAATCCGTGTCAGCGCTAGTAAATCGCCTCACATGCAAACAAGCCTCTTTCAGGCCTCAAAGACTCACCCATTCTCGGTTTTCAAGACCCGATAAGCCGTAATCATGTACGATCCATTTTTTCTCCAATTTTTCACATCCATGCTGCGATAGAGCCTAAGCTCCGCACTGATTATGTGTTCCCCGGGTGGTACCTCGGAAACGTCAAACCATAGCCTTTTGCCGCGCTCATGCCTCACTCCGGGAACATGATGATCTGTAGGTCGAGAAAAAAAAAAGAAGCGTCTCATTAACCGGCAATAACCAAAGCGATTGAGGCGAAACGGAATGTAAACGTAGATTTATGACAGGATTGTCGGGTGGCAATTAGCCCGTTCACCCGGGATAAATCGTTTTTACTCATTTATCCTTCGGCCGGATATAGATAGCTGGAACAACATTCGTAAACGTCCCTTCGGCGATCATCTTACCTACGTAAAAGCGTCGCCGGATTTTAAGACGAAAGGAAGCTTTTTTTTTTTCCGCCGTACCACGATGTCAGCAAACGATAACACGAAGACATAATGCATCGCATAGGTATAATGGGGAACCGTCAATGAGAGTAGTAGAAAGGAAATAACCGAAGTGGATGGTTACTTATCTATGGTTACACAATGGTGTATAGTTTGAAAGTGGTTAGAAAGCGGGGAATAATAAAAACCGATGTACAGAATATAAATTCAAGTAAAAGAACGCTCGTCTGATTAATCGTTTACGATGTTGGATTGGAAAATGTACACTGCCAAAGGTTTGGGTATTGCGTTCGTATTTCGTTTTAGTTTAATAATATAATATTTAAATTAATATCTCACCATATGAACATTAACATATTCTTTTGCTATACTATACGTGTAATGACAGGTTGTTTTTGTTTACTATAAACACTAAAATATACGTTCGAAAGTAAGTAAGTAATACTCCAAAGAAGAACATTGATATTAGTAATATTCTTGTTAATTTGCTTGCAATGTGTTTCACACACCGGGAAACATACATATACGCAAACTTGTTTCGAGCTTTGCGTATACGCAGTACTTTTAAGAAATAACGATGTTGATTAACTAGTCGTTAGTTATTAAATTAATACTTTGCTATCGTCGCTAATAGTTATCGCATTTCGCTTTATGAAGTTATTACTAAAAGGAATTTTAATCATAAAGAGTATGTAATATAATTTTATACGTACAGACCAGCTCAAAACTAGAATCTGAAATATTGTTGAAACTGTTTATTACACTAGTTTATTACACTACTAAAATGGTTCTGAGGGAATATAATTTTACAAGTTAACAGATATAAATCATGCAAATGACAGTATTATATTCTTTTATAGAAAATAATAGAGATTAAGCTGGACTTATCTATCTATATGTTTGTAGCAATTTCTATACAGATAAACTTTTGTAAAGTAAAGTTAAATATTTGATTTTCAATGTCTTAACGTTATCTTAAAATTTCTTCAGAAAGAAATATTATTCTATGATATTCTTCTTCGAAGAAGCTCAACGAATATATTCCAAATATTTTTTAATATCCCCAAAAATAAAGATTTAGATGTTTGTATTGATCCAACATTTTATATATAAATATCCGCTCAAAAGTTTTAGCATAAGAAAAAACTGCATTTAATTCAAAACTGAAAAATGAAATAATGATTCGTACAATCAGAAATCTGTAAAACATTAATATATAAACAATCGTATTATAAACTTAAACGTGCAATTATTTATCATCTGAATATTGAAAGTAAAAAGTATTAGGATTTCCAAACGGTGGAGTATTTTGATCTATGTGAGAAGTATAATAGATATAGGTTTATTAAAAGAAATAAAAATGAAAGAAACGTCATATTGTTTTCAAATCAATGCGTTTTATATTGCAATATTTTTAGCAAATAGATAAAATAAATAAAATATAAGTACAGGTTTCACTAGAGCTCGCTCTCCAGGCATATTTAAAATTGGATCCAGATAATTATGAAAGTCAAGGTCCAGATTAAAATTACCTAAAAATTCATTCAACACCAAATTTTTTGTGTTCAATAATTCATGTGGTAAAAAATGTACCGCTTATAGTTGCATGAAGACCAAAATAATCTTCAGCTGTTAAGATCGTTAAATTTAGGTGCACGTATATCTCAATCGTGATTTCGTTTCAACAAAATAAAAATATTTTCAATATGTAAAGAGCTTTTACTAGCAAAGTGAGACAATAATATTTTCACGTTTAGCTCAAAATTAAGAATTTTTCAAATAAAATATTATAATAATAAAAAATATAACAATATTCATATAAATACAAAAGGATAAAGTAATAAAAAACTTTGCATATTATTTTTGATTCAATTGTCAAAATAGTTGCAATTATCAAACTTTAATACTAAAATAATCACACTTGTCAATTTCCTCTTTTTACAATTGCTTAAAAGATACGGATATTTTTGTCAAAATTAATATTGATTGTTGTCTAGACGTAATTGTATAAATCCATTTATTTTAATCATTTAAATACAATGATTTGTGTCTGGAATATTTTGATAAATATCTCTCTCTCTCTCTCTCTCTCTCTCTCTCTCTCTCTCTCTCTCTCTCAGCCGGTTATTTTACCGTTAAATAGTAACGTCTGAACTTTTTGAAACTGCTTATTTAGTTGCTAACTATAAAAATGACTTTTACAAATTTTTACATTGATAAATTAACAATTCTATAACCTAAGTTTTATAATCGCAAACTCTTCTCTTGTTTGATGAAATATTATATTCGTAATATCGAATTCGTCTTTTTAAGTATTCTTAAAAATTAAAGATGTATTATTTTTAAAAATCTTACATCTTGTCATTTTTCTCTTCTGCAACTGCCTGATAAAAATAATTATTTGTTCATTTTGAGGTAGATCACCGCCACTCTTTCTATTCAACCACAAAAAATGATTTCAGAAAAGAAAACAGTCAGGAAAGTAAAATGCCATCAATTTTCGATGAACTGAGTAACCTGTTTAATTACGATAAATTTGAAAAAACTGACGCAACAATTCAAACCTTCCTTCTATAATTATCCTGCTAGATATTATCTAAATTCCTCAACAACCATTTCATTCCCGAAATGTTAATTTTTAATGCATTTTTGAAAATATTGCTCTTCTTGTACACGATTCGCGATAAAACATAATAAAATTATTAAAATTTATGAAAATTACAAGGTGTTTCTAAAAATTGAAAACTAAACTTCAGGAGCGTGTAATACGCTCATCAAAAAGATCTTAATAAACAATTACTCTAAAAACAATTAATTTCAAAGTTATGAAAATTTTGAAGTTTTCTATTAGTAAGACAAAACTTTCACAGAATTTTATCTTTACCTCGACATTACTCTTTTATATGTTGAATATGAACCTTGTTTGTTTCTGTACACGCTTCTACGCATTTTCTCACATAATTTCAGAATTCGATCATTAACGAAACTGAAAAGTACAAACTACAAATTATGTATATATAAAAAAACTCTGTAATATGTACAAACAATAAAGCACATTCTTCTTCATTATAATTAAGATTACTGATTTGACATACACTCCCGGAGAAAATGATTGTGTATTATCTTTTGTTTCTCGAAGACAAGTTCGAATTTTTGAAATGTATTTTGCAACAAATGCACATGAATATGACGACACAGAGAGAAAAACTTTTCAAATTCGTTATTCATACGGTATTTTTTTTTTTTAACAAACATCTAAATAACTTTAAATACAAATTTATCATAATATCATCAAACGTAGCTCAAAATACAAATTGTAAATGGCAAATAACAAAACTTATTTTGAACTCGTGGAATGTCATAAGAATGACTATTGAATGTAACACAACATATAATAGATAACTAATGTAATAGATAAGAAGAAAAACTTTTATGGAGGATGTTCATTCACCGGATGCATCACTCTATGTGTCAATTGACTATGTTTTTTTATCTTATTGCTATTTGTTTCGTATAGTGTACTTTATATTAAAAAGACTTTTATCTTATAGAAATAAATTAAATTAAATTTTAATTTTCTTTGATATATGAAGTATTCAAAATAAGTGTAAATCATTTTTTGTGGCAAAAACGATTTATGCCATGAAAATACCCCTCTTTTAACAAACGATTCAAATTTACTATAGTAATTGTATTATTATTATATTAATTATATATCACTATATATTATAATAATTATGTAATAATGACTTATATAGTAGACTACATAATTGTACAATATAACAATATATTAATATAATTATTACGATATATTAACTTGTTTTCATCAACTGATAATTTTAATGGAACAAATAGTTTACATGGTATAAATTGTGTATAATTGTGTACAACAAATGTAAATGCGAAAATCGAAACTCAATATAAACTTTGTAAATCCTTCAACATTTATTTATTTCTACTTTTCAAAATTTGCATTATTACATTCTGATTATGTAAAAAAAAATTGCTATTCCAATATAAATCTTCTGTGATCTTCTGATTTCTGTGATCGAGACATGATTTGAGATTAATATAACTTTCATTTTGAACATATCAAATTTCTATTTATTTTTACACAAATTTTAGAACATATAGATGTTCTAAACATACCAAAATGTGAAAAAGAACTGTTCTTTTAGTATCAAAGTATATATTATAAATGCATCATAAATATGTTATATGAAATAGTGAACGTTGTAAGTAAATAATTCATTTTAATTTTTAGGATGTCACAAGGTAGATAAAATTGGATTTCATTGTGAGAAAGGTGAAAATGCTAGTATGTACTTTGCCGTTTATTGATATTCCTCATCACTTATTTTTATTTATGACAAACTCTAAAAATCTATAACATTCAAACCGATGAATATCAGTGTTAAAATTAATGTATTATGATTTCTACTTTTATATCAACTCCTAACTAGTGTCATACAACGTTGGAGACTTAAACAATACATTTTAAAGTTCTAAATCAATTTTTCATTTAATTGAATATTATTATTATATTAATCTCTATTGTGGAAAATGAAAAACAAAAGCTAAAGTTAAATACCGAAAATTTCAGTAATTTAATTTTAAATTATCAAAGTCCAATGATACTTGGAGGTTAAAAAATTTTGATACATACGTCATTTACGATTCTGGCTCCTCGCCAGTTGTCAGACAACTAACACAAATTTTCGCGAACACAATAAATTTAAGACTT